GTTTAACATTACTTTTACATCCTTATGAGAAAATAGAATAGAGGAGAGTTTTTTATTAGCAAAAGTGCTTTACCTCACTCTAAAATAACATAAAAAAGAAGACTATTAGTTTTTATATGCATTCAGGTTTAAGAGCCTGCTAAAAATAGATCCTTCTGATTTTCATAAACAGATAACATTTTTTGTGGAATAAAAAGAACTTCAGGTAAATGCAAAACAAAGAATAATCTCTATGTAGCAAATTTCTCTATAAAACTTATGGGACTTTATGCCTGGGATTTGTGCCTGGCTTAATACATAAGAGCTTAAAATAATGGAAATCAAGGAAACAGACAAGTTGTTAGAGGCATTGTAAAAACGTATTAGACATAAACTTTCCCATCAAGGTACATAAAATCTTAATGATAAAATAAGGCATGAAAAACACATGTATCCCAGAGATAAATATAAACTGCATATCTTAGACAATTTCATCATTTCATCTATTTCTGGCCATGCCAGTAGGGCTATGTGGGCTCTCCCCAAAGTTTATTTACATAGAGAGGAATTTGATAAGAAGTGAAAATGATGAATCACTTTAAGATTGCCAGACACAGGCCTTCTATGTGAATATGGTGGATTCAACACATCCATTTCCTTTGGCTCCCTTCCAAAAAACCCACTAAAGTAATAATAACATGATTTGTTCTAAAGATAGAAACACACAAAATCAGGAAAATGGAAGACAAGGCTACAATAACAAAAGTATGGAAGCTGAAAAACATCTAAAAAAGACAATGCTGAATCCTACCATAATCATAGAAGAACCTGATTACAATTCAAAATGTCCCCCAAACCTCAGGAACTGTTGGCACAGCCAAGTGAAGAGGAAATTCCTAAAATAAGAGGGTTTTTGAAATTGGCTTGGAGAACTTGGACCCTCTTTCTTTCTCTACTCTGATCAACTATATGACTGTACCTCCTTCACTCTCACAGAAGCCTGGAGAAGTCTTTGAATTATAGCAGAATATCATAACAAGAACAGAGGATATGAGCAAAAGATATAAACTGGATGCTGAATTTCTGGCTTCTTACCCTCACTTGGCTGCAGAATGTTGGAAACAAGACCTTTACCTTCCAGCCATAAACTGGAAACAGTCCAAGACAGAGATGTAACCAAGACAACAGAGAACTGCCCTGTCCTCCATCACCAGGATAACACCAAAAAATACTCAATACCAGCCTACCACTTCAAGTAAAATGCAAACTTCTAGTCTTGGGGAGGGACAAGAAGATGGAGAGAAATTAAGGAAGGCCTAAAACATACATTAGAACAAAAGGCTCTAAAAAACCACCCCCATGATAAGAACAATGTAATAATAAAGAAATTTAAAGACATTGGTGCATTTCAGGTAACCATAGCAATAATAAAACCCAAACCCAATTAATATCCTGACTATATGGACTCAATATCCCACACAAATGGCCCAGCAGAAAAAAGGGTGTACCCATTGTCAATCATAAATACTAGTAACCTCAGCCTCTACTCCTCTAAACACTATGTTCAACATTCAAAAGGAAAGTATGAGACACACAAAAGGCAAGAAAAAAAAACCCAATGTCAAAGACAAATCAACCCATGGAATGAGGCTCAGAGATAACCCATATAATGTATCTATTAGAGAGGAAATTTTAAATAACTATGATTAATATGTTATCTAATGAAAGGAGTGGACAACATTCATGAACCAATGGAGAATTTCAGCATGAGTAGACAGAAAAATGTAAAAGATACGGAAAAATCAAATAGAAATGCTAGGGGGGAAATTATCATAGTTATGGAGATTAAGAATGCCTTCAACTGGCTTATTAATAAACTTAACCAAGAATGGTCAGTAGATAACACTCAAACTAAAAAGTACACAAGCACAGGGAGAGAGAGAGAGAGAGAGAAATGGAAACAGAAAGCAAAATAGAGCTTTGTTAGACTATCAAAGAGTCTAACATACATGTAATGGTGGTAAATCCAAAAGGAGACAGAAAGAGAGAGAGAGAGAGAAGTGTTAAAGAAATATTTGAAGACTAGAGGCCCAGTGCACAAAAATAGTGCACAGGTAGGGTCCCTAGCAGCTGCCGGCTGGGGGCAGGAGGGGGGGAGAAGGGGTGAGGGAGGAGGAGGCTCCCTTCCCCCAGCCACCTGTCCTGTTGCCAATGCCTGCCATGTTCCTCGCCACCCCCTGGTGGTCAGCACATGTCTAACCCCCGGTGGGTCGAACTCCCGCCCATGGGGGCAATTTGCATATTAGCCTTTTATTATATAGGACTAGGGGCCCGGTGCACAAAAATTTGTGCACTGGGGAGGGGGTTCCCTCAGCCCAGCTTGCCCCCTATCACATACTGGGAGCCCTAGGGGATGTCCTACTACCTGCTCCCTGCTCCCCTTGGGGAGTGGGCCTAAGCCACAGTCTGGCCACCCTTTGTGGGAGTCGAACGGGCTGATCAGGGGAAGGCACCAGCCCCATCACCGCACTGTTGCAGCCACTGCAAGTCAACAATTGCTGGCTGGCTCCACCCTGGTTCCCCGCCTCTGCCGCCATCAACAATCCTTGGCTGGCTCCTCCCTGGCCCAGGCCTAAAGCCTCTGCTGGAGGCTTTAGGCCTGGGCCGGGGCACCCCCAGCTCCCGCCGCCGCCAATTGCTGGTTGGCTCCTCCCAGGCCCAGGCCTAAAGCCTCTGCTGGAGGCTTTAGGCCTGGGCCGGGGCACCCCCAGCTCCCGCCGCCGCCAATTGCTGGTTGGCTCCTCCCAGGCCCAGGCCTAAAGCCTCTGCTGGAGGCTTTAGGCCTGGGCCGGGGCACCCCCAGCTCCCGCCGCCGCCAATTGCTGGTTGGCTCCTCCCAGGCCCAGGCCTAAAGCCTCTGCTGGAGGCTTTAGGCCTGGGCCGGGGCACCCCCAGCTCCCGCCGCCGCCAATTGCTGGTTGGCTCCTCCCAGGCCCAGGCCTAAAGCCTCTGCTGGAGGCTTTAGGCCTGGGCCGGGGCACCCCCAGCTCCCGCCGCCGCCAATTGCTGGTTGGCTCCTCCCAGGCCCAGGCCTAAAGCCTCTGCTGGAGGCTTTAGGCCTGGGCCGGGGCACCCCCAGCTCCCGCCGCCGCCAATTGCTGGTTGGCTCCTCCCAGGCCCAGGCCTAAAGCCTCTGCTGGAGGCTTTAGGCCTGGGCCGGGGCACCCCCAGCTCCCGCCGCCGCCAATTGCTGGTTGGCTCCTCCCAGGCCCAGGCTGGCTCCTCCCTGACCCAGGCCTAAGGCCTCAGGCCGTGGTTTTAGGCCTGGGCCGGGGCACCCCCAGCTGCCGTGGAAGATCGCTGGCTGGCTCCTCCCCGGCCCAAGCCTAAAGCCTCTGGCCGAGATTTTAGGCCGGGACTGGGGACCCCTAGCTCCAGCCTCAGCTGATCGCTGGCTGGCTTCGCCCTGGTTCCCCACCTCCGCCGCCATCAACAATCGCTGGCTGGCTCCTCCCCGACCTAAGCCTAAAGCCTCTGGCCAAGGCTTTAGGCCTGGGCCAGGGCACCCCCAGCTCCCCTCCGCCGCAGCCATCTATGATCACTGCCACCCCCAGCTCCCCTCCGCCGCCGCCATCTATGATCACTGCCTGGCTCCACCCAGGTTCCCCCTGCCATCACCGCCATCAACCATCACTGGCTCAACGATCGCTGGCTGGCTCCTCCCTTACCCAGGCCTAAAGCCTCAGTCTGTGGCTTGGAGCCGACATATGCAAATTAGCCGCCATCTTGGTTGTCAGTTAATTTGCATATACTCACTGATTAGCCAATGAAAAGGGTAGCGGTCGTACACTAATTACCATGTTTCTCTTTTATTAGTGTAGATATGATGCCTGAAAATTCTTCAAAAAGATTAAAGTTATCAAACCACAGGTTCTAAAAGCTCATAAAAGCCAAAAGAGGATTTAAACAATTAATAAAATAAAATTAACACTTAACACATGATACTCAAAATGCTGAGCACAAAAGATAAAGAGAAAATATTAAAATTATCCAAAGAGCACTAGCTGGTTTGGCTCAGTGGATAGAGTGTTGGCCTGCAGACTGAAGGGTCCCAGGTTCAATTCTGGTCAAGGGCACATACCTCCCTTGTAGGCTCTATTCCTGGCCCTGGTTGGGGCTCATGTGGGAAACCAATTGATGTGTCTCTCTCACATTGGTATTTCTCTCTCTCTCTGTCTCTCCCCCTCCCTTCCACTCTCTCTAAAAATAAATAAAAATATCCTCAAGTGAGGATTAGCAACAACAACAAAATTATCCAGAGAAAAGGCCACATTACATAGAATAAACAAATATAAGAAATACATCAAACATCTTAATAGAAACTTTGCTTGTCAAATGAAAATACAGTGACATTTTTAAAGGGCTAAAAGAAAAAAAACTGTCAATAACATATCTAATGAAATTATCATTCAAAAATGATGAAAAAATAAACACGTTTTCCAACAAACAAGAACTAAGAGATTTTATTAATGGCAGATCTAAACTATCAGAAATATTAAAGGAAATTCTTCAGGAAAAATAATTATGACACCATAATTATGACACCAAAAATGATTTAGACAGAAACTTGGGTCTACACCAATAAATAAGAATCCCAGGAAATGGTTAAAATAAAGATAAATATAAAAGACATTTTTTCATCTCTCTAAAATTATTGACTGTCTAAAGTAAAAACAATCGATGTATTGTGGGCTTAGAACACATATAAAATTAAAATAGATATGACAACAATAGTACAAAAGGTAGACAGCAGATATTGTGAGTATACTGTCATAAGTTCAAATACTAAATGTAAAAGGGAATACCACTACTTGAAGGTAGACTGTGATTAAAGATGTATACAATGGTGGGAGGGAGGGAGAGAGAGAGAGAGAGAGAGAGAGAGAGAGAGAGAGAGAGAGAGAACTGAGGCCTAGAAGTATCTCTAGGGCTTAACATTTATGGGAGTGGTCGTACAAGGGCTTGTATGGGAGTCTTATGGGGCTATTCTCTGGCCCCTTGTTCCTCCTCTAAGGGGGTCTAAAACCACATGACTAGCGACATGCTAGGGTATGAAAGGTCAGGGAAGGGTCCCAACCACACAACCAGGGATATGAAAGGTCAGGGGGTCTAAACCCCATGACCAGAGATATACTAGGGGAGGAAAGGTCACCCTGGGGGTGAGGTCCTTGTTTTCCCAGTTTTGCCTGCTGGTAGGCACCCATGCCTTTCCCCCCTGGCCCTGGCCCGTGGTCCTTACTCTGCTAACTGCCTGCCACAGTGTTACTAGGAGATTTGATTCTATTAATGTCCTTGAAGGTTCATTTTCATTTTCACTGAGGGATTTTACTCCTCTCATCCACACTTCCTGGTTATAATTGAAATCAAAGAAACCATTATCTTTATTTCATAAACTCCGGACAAAACTAATTTTATACAACAATATGTATTTCTTTAATTGGGAGAATTACAATTTTTAAAATTATTTAATTGGGGAGAAATACCTAGTAAAGTAAAAAAAAAAAAAGTGAATCTCCTATTTGGCAATGATAGGAGAATCGAAAATAATTCTAATGCTAATCAGGCACAGCCTTTGTACCATGTCTAGCAGGAATATAAGCAGTTTAGTAAAGAGATTTTAAATCTAGAAATGTCAACCCAATTAAGTAGACAGGAATACTTCATGTAGATAAAACCAATGTGAAAGGTGGAAAAGGATTTGTTCAGTGAACAGAGACAATTTTAGTAGGTTGTGTGGGTTTTTTGGAGTAAAAAAAAAAATGCACAGGAAAGAGATAAAATGCAGGAAGAGATAAAACTAGAAAAATAACATATAATCATTAAATATTAACCTAAAGTTTTGAACGATATTCTGTAATAAGGATTGCTAACATTTATTAATTCACTGTCCTTGTGCCAGGCACTGTAATTAATCATCTCAATAATCCCATGAAATGGAGACTATTACTCTAATGTGAACAAAGTCAGTTTTATAGGGGAAGTGTAATTTGCTCAAAACATAATTACAATTCAAGGATTTCTGATTCTAAAGTGCATGTTCTTATCTGTTCTAATATTTTTCCAAATATCTGTTAATGTGCCCAATTATACCGAATTAGAAAGCTGAAAATTCTAGCCACTTACCTGGAGGCCTCGGAGATGGTTCAATTTTATGCAGGTTTGATGGCACCACAGAGTGCCCACACTAAACATTATTTCTGGGTGTGTCTGTGGGGGTGATTCTGGATGAGATTAGCAATTGAATTGGTGGACTCTTAAAGACCTATGCTCTGTCCAATGCGGACAGGCGTCATTCAATCCCTTCCAGGTGGAGGAAGGAGGAATTCATCCCTTTTCGTTTGGGCTAGCTGGTTTGAGCTGAGACATCTCATCTCATCTTTTTCTGCCCTTGGACTGGAATGTGCACCATCAGCTTCCTTGGATCTCGGGCCTTAAATTTAAGCCAGAATCACAATACCAGCTTTCCTAGGTCTCCAGCTGGCAGATGGCAAATAGTGGGATTTCTTGCCTCCGAAACCGTGTAAGGCAATTCTTCCTTATAACCCGCTCTCCTCTCCTCTCTCTCTCTCTCTCTCTCTCCCCCTCTTCTTATCTTTCTCACCTCCTCATTATATACACATGTCCTATTGGTTCTGTTTCTCTGGAGAATTCTGCCCTCATCTTAATGGCTGCTTTTTTGAATAAATCTGAAACAACAGCCTCAGGAAAAAAGGCACTATCCTTACCTAACCCATTTTATTCTGACACTCACTTCTGTTGTCTAGGTGAAAATATTTAAATAGAAATGTACACTTGAAACCTATGTAATCTTATTAAACAGTGTCACCCCAATAAATTTAGTTTTTAAAAGATTTTTGAGAAAGATATAGCTCTCCTTTGAGGCTGTAGCTTAAAGTTTTCAGCTTTAGCTTGGGGATATACTAACATTAAACTTCTGAAAAGCTCCAAACTGAGACTCAGTCCATTTAAATTTCAGGCCACTGGTACAGGGCACCTCCTAGCAAAACTGTGTGCAGTAGATGGAATGGGGGGGGGAGGAAAGTCTCATAAAATAGTGGGGTTTTTTAATTATAAGACTAATAGAATGCTTGGTTTGTGCCTGCACAGCTAGCCAGCGGGGAGTTCTAAGAGGTACAGCGACATGATATAGACTGTCCCAGTCCTGGATATAGTTTGCTATTATGCAGTGGTTAGTTGTGACTTCTAGGACAGCAGCATTGACCTGGTATGATAAGGCTTGGAGAGTATGCGATGCAGGGATCCACCGTCCACCTCCCTGATTCCCAAAAGGGAGTTGCTTACTAATATTCCATTTTTTTCTCACCCTCCTTTCTATACCACCTATTCCTCCAAGAAGGTAAGTACTTTGTTCCATCCCTGTTTGAGAACAACATTTGTGAAAGACAGGAACAAATTGCCAAAAGCATTATTTCTGAGTTCATGTTATGTGACATTTAAATCATAGTATATATCACAAGCAAGGCGGACTAAACCCAGTAATGCAAGAATGCTTTAATACTGGGGGAGGTGTACTCCTAATATACTTATCACATTAATAGATTAAAATAAAAACACATGATGCAAAATGCTAAAATGATTAAGAAGGGCCTTCAATAAATTCAATTCTTACTCAAAATAAAAAGTCTTAGGAAATTAGGGGGGGGGGAGTGTTTTTTAGCCTGATAAAAAATATCTTCCAAAAATACAACACAAGCATCATATTTTATAATAAAAGTAAGAGTTGCAAGATAAGAATGCTATTTACACTACCACTACTAAACTTTGAAATAGAAGCTGTAGCAGAATAATGAGACAAAGTTTGGAAAACAAAAAAACAAATTATTCTTTGAAGATGGTATTATCTACAAAGAGCATATCAAAGACTACAGAGAATTTGTGAAAACTGACCAGAGAGTTCAGAAAGCTATTGTATTCCAGTTTAATATACATAAGATCCATAAGTAAATGGTGATATACTATCTGCATAAGTAAGAAGAATTACCATGTTTTTTAAGTTAGGTCTTTTAAGATCCCAAAAATATTTTTAGCAAAGTTACTAAGCTGATAATAGCATTTATATGATGACAGAAAGACAAAGAATAAATGAGGACAATTTGAACAAATAAAAAAAAAGAGCAGGGAAAAGGTGTAGGGAAGACAATCTATATATATAAAAGGCTAATATGCTAAGTGTCCAACCATCCGACCAGTCACTATGATGCCCACTGACCACCAGGGGGCAGACACTCAACACAAGAGCTGCCTTGACATGCACTAGCCAGTTACAGAGAAACAGCACCGTGGACCTGGTGTCCACAAAGCAACATTCGGCTTCCCCCAAGTGGGACATAGGCCCCGCCACCACCACCCAGAGTGATAGCCCACCAAATCGCAGCCAACACTGCCAAGACCCCATGGCACAAAATGCAGCCCACAGCCCAGCCCAGTCCAGAAACGGTCACTGTGGGCACCGGGTAATGGCATTACGTAGCAACACCCAGCTTCCTCTCCCTAGCAACTAGCCTCCTTAGAGTTTCTTCAGCCCAGGAATATGACATGCTTTATAGCCAGGTAGAAACATTTTACAGTTTAACCAAATGTCTGTGAAGTGTTTTCTTGTGCCTCATCTCATTTGATCCTCACAGAAGTCCTGGAGCAGGTAGATAGGAGACTTGGTGGAATCCTATTTTCCTTCATTAGCTGGAAAATGGAGATTTAGAAAGTTTAGAAACTTGACCCTACTGAAAAGAAGTAAGAAATGGTGGACCTTGAAAATGACTTCAGGTTTTCTCACTGCACAGAATATAGTCGAACACTGCTGCAGTTAAATATTTTACCCTTTGTTCTCCCTGCATGATGTACAATAATAATCTGCTTCGTGTTGATATTTACTGCTGTGTTGCCAACAATTAGCTGAAAGAGAAGTTGGGATGCTTTACTGGGCTGGAAAAAAGTTTAGCTAAATCAGAAAGCAGGTCTAAATAAGCAAGCTTATTTATATACTAGAGGCCTGGTGCACAAAAATTTGTGCACTCGGGGGGAAGGGGGGGTCCCTCAGCCCGGCCTGTGCCCTCTCGCAGTCTGGGACCCCTCGGGAGATAACGCCCTGCTGGCTTAGGCCTGCTCCCAGGTGGCAGAGGGCAGGCCCAATCCCTAGGTGCAGCCCCTGGTCGGGCTCAGAGCAGGGCTGTTTGGAGAGTTGGAGCGCCGCCCCCTGTCATGCACAGAGCAGGGCGGATCGGGAGGTTGCGATGCCACCCCCAGTCACACTCAGGGT